GATGAACAGGTAAGAAAAATGACCCACAGCCACCGATTGGAAACTGCGTTCTCTACAGGACTAGGATCTCAGTTTGCACACTTTTAGGACAGATGTGATTGTTTCCGAGCTAAGGGAGCAGGGGTATGGGCAGGACTAGCAGCTAGACACGGCACCACATGAAAACTGAGCACATAGCAGGGGACATTGCCACGGATAGCAAGAAAATATAAAACCTTCGTCCTTTTTTGTGGTCTCTCACCTTACTATGGGGTTTAAAAATTGGCCATTATTGTCATCCAAAACAAATTAACATAAAAAAGTGTAAATGATTCACACCAGTTTTTACTGTTCATCTTTGCAGTGCACAGTGGCAGTTTTAAATGCAAACGCCAGATCATTTAACTCATTTGTGCTGTCATTGAAACTGTACAGCGTGACTTTGGTCCCTGGAGGGTTCCTTGAGCCGGACACAAAAGACAAACCCAGGCAGCTGCAGGAAGGGTAGATGGAGGAAGAGGAAATTCTTCAGGTGGGCACTCAGCAGGCTCAGGGGAGCTGCCCCAGTGCCTCAGCCTGGCACCAGGGTTTTAGGGTCTTCATAGGTTATCTGTCCGTGCTGGCCTGATGGTTTCTTGGATTCCCTCTCCTGCCAGCTGCTGGCCCAGCATACTGTCCCCTGACTCAGGACAGGCCCTGGAGGGCTCCCCAACTCATAGCAGACAGGTACCACCAAGGGACTGCAACCTCCATGCTAGGTTCTTGGATCAGCTTCCCTATCATGAGTCACAGCTTCTTGCCACTGTCCCCAAGACACACTGCAGTGCTGCCAGTGCTGGGCAGGAGGCCTATGCCCTGCCCCGGGATGCTGCCCAGTAGGTGCACTACTGTTATCCTACCCACCTGTGCACAGACCCCTGACTGGGGTGGAGGCAGCAGGGGTTACTGAGCTGGCAGAGGGAGGGAGGAACCCGAGTTCCAGGGCAGGAGCATAGCTGGGAACTTGCCCCAGGGTGGCAGGAAGCAGGAGCCAACAGCCTCTAAGTCCCCACCGGTCCCCATCCCTTAGTGCTTTCTTATCCATCAGACTTCAGACTTCACTTACCAAACCCAATAGAAGACATGACTGCTCCTAATCCCAGGTCAGCGCAGCGGAGAATAAACCGCCTTTGTAGGACCCTCGGAACAGGACACCCCACAGACTCTGAGGTCCGATGGCCCCGAGTGCTGCAGGAGGAGGAGGCTCAGGGCTTCCTGTCCCACAGCAGGTCCTTTTCAACCAGAACCACCCCACGCCAAGAGTGGATTCGCCTTCCTGACAAGCCTGCCCTACTCTCCCCCTCCGCCCTCTTCTCCTCCCCCTGTCTCCCTCAATGACTCTGACTCTGGTATGGGGACAGTGACTGCTCCTGTGCTGGCTCTGGACACAGTGAATTTCAAAGGCAGCGTTTCATGGTCCATGTTTGTGGCTTCTCTTTGGGTTCCCTTGGCTGCTTTTTTCCTTTTTGCTCCCCTCTATCTCCCTCTGCCTGAGTGAGGGGAGATCACTGTGTTTTACAGTGAGTGGGGCCGGCATCCCTGCCTGGCAGGACGCATGTGGCTTCAGCAGAGTGCAGATGGGGCTCGAGTGTGTGTGTGTGTGTGTGTTGCCTGGTTTTCAGGACTGTGGGGAATCCAACAGGAGGAATGAAGAGAAGGGGAAGGAAAAGAGCTGGAGAAAGCCACAGAAGCCCAGAGAGGCGGGAATGGAGCACAGGAAAATGGGAAGAGGAGGGGAATGGAAAGAAGACAGGAGGGAAAGAAGGAGGGAGGGCAAGGAAAAGAAAGAAGAAAGAGGGAAGGAAGGAAGGGAGCTTCTGGCCTGCTCTATTCGAATGACTGGAAAGAGGGCTTGCACCTTCTGAAGCTCCTGACTGCCGGAAATCTCCCCGCAGTGCAATGCACGGCTGTTTGTGAGTCTCCTAATGGCAGGTGGCAGGGAGCGTCAGTACCACTGACCCTGCTAGATTCCTGAAAATGTGACTGCATACTAACGCTCTTAGAGCGCCTCCCAACAAATTGGTGCTTCTACAAAGTGTGGGTGCCCTGAAGAGAGTGGGGTGAGGGTGTTGCATGATTCGGTAAAATGGGACAGAAGAATCCTGGGACAGAACACTTTCTCCTGTATCTGCAGCTTCTCAAAACAATCAGCTGGAAACATTCCTTAAGCTAAGAGGCATACCATGGGGTGTCTCACCCCAGCCTTCTGTAGCACCCGTCACATTTTTAACATAACTTCCTGGTTGCACAGGGCAGGAGTTCCCAGTCGGCCCAGAGCTGCAGTGAAGAGAGCTCTTCATTCACGAGGCTCTTCACAAACACGAACTTAATTTTCCAGAGAGACCAATGCAATGACCCTGTAAGGACATATGACGGGGCACAGCCGGATGCTGGGCTGCTTCAAGTTTCAGAAGCCAGTTTTTCCTGGCGAGATCACAGTTGCTCCTGTTGGGTCCAGCTGGGAAAGTATCACTGAGTCTCTGTGTCTGAGAATTGAGAAGAAAAGGCGACTCCTATCTGATGGGCTTGGCCTAAAGATGACTTGTGGTCGGAAGACCCAGACTCACGATGAGACGTGTCTCACACTCAGGTGATTCCCAGCCACAGGCGTCCTGTTCTCTCAGTAATGGGAACTATTTCTGGAGAAATATTTCATTCGTGGATTATAATGCAGGCTCCTCGGAGATTTTCCTTGTAAAGGCAACAAAAACTAATTTCTCAGAGGACCAGTAGGATCCCACCCAAGGACTGGAGAATCTGACATACTGAGATCTCTTTCATGACTGGTGAGATATGGGCACAATATTTATCTCTAACCCAAGAGAGATGTTAGCTTGATAGCAAAGAGGTGCTGCTCCTGCCCGGGCAGGATTTGTCAGAATAGTGGACCCTCCTCATTAGCATCAACTAGAACGATGATTAAAAAGCAGTCTTCTACATCCCACTGCAAAGTGACCACAGGTCTGTGGATTCGAGGTCAGAAACCACATTTCAAGTAAGCAGGGAGTCGTAGTCTTATATCCACTGCTGTTTGAGAATCAGCATTTAGAGAGTGGTTCTCGAAACTCAGGAGGCCTCAGGTTCACCTGCAAGACTGAACACAGATCTCCAAGCCCCTCCCAGAGCTTTTGCTTTGGGAACCAAGGATTTGCATTCCTGACAAGCTCCTGGCATGGCCATTGCTAGTGTGGGGGTCACATTTGGAGACCTGGTTTAGAATAATTAAACCAATTCAGTCTCCTGTCAGTTAGGGATAACCTACTTCCTGTGGCGGGGAAGCTCGGGATCAGAGTGTGGAGGTGGCCTGGGGAAGTTGGTTTCCTCTGGAGGGGAAGACTAGGGCCACCGTGCAGGACCAACTGTTCCCAGGAGCCAGGCCCAGCTCCAGAGCCTTCAGGTGGTTCAGGTGGGATGCTGTGAGTCTGTCTATGACCAGGCTCTATCGGCTGAGTTTTGGGAGCTCATGAAACCTTGGCCAAATCGAGGACTTCTAGTAGATGCCGGAGCAAGAATGGAAGCACAAAAGCAAGTTGTGTCCTGGTCACCCTGGCTAAGAAAGGGCTGCTGGGATGCATTCACATTGTGACGACCCGAAGCCTTGGGCTGAGGTGTCAGGGATCTCAGGCCATAGTTGCTCCTCCTCTTCTCCCTTCTGGAAAGAATTTCATGGGGCTAAGGATTTAGCTCAGCGGCATAAGCGCCTGCCTTGCAAGCAGGCAGTCGTGAGTTCGATCCCCGGTACCGGAAAAAAAAAGAATTTCAGGCTGGGGCTTCCTCAGAGCGTGGCCACGCCTGGCTGCGGTTCAGGGGTGGCTCCTGTCTTCCTCAGATGCTTGCAGTCTCCAACTCTGTCACTAGAGGTCTCAGCAGGACAACAATTACTTCAGGCCTTCAGGGAGCAGCCCTGACTCAGGAGGAGCCTGAGCAGTCAACTCCTGCACCAGTTCCACGCCTGTAGGTTTGTTCAGGAGATTTGCTGACATGGAGAGAAACAAGGCAAGGAGTTCGTTTCCCACCTGCCTGCCCAGGACTTCTGTGGGGTGACTGACCGGTCTCAGGTGGCCACCCACAGAGGCCATTTTCCTCCTCAAATAGGGCCACAGCTACCACAGGAGGAGGATTATTTCCTCTCTGTAAAGGATTCATCATAAAGATTTAATACGGAAAAGAAAGCACATTTGAGACAGTCAGACCCGGAGCTGGCTGAGATCACCTGGGAGGGGTGGGTCCCTGTCTAGGGAACAGGCACTGCCCTCTCACGTGTGTCCTGGGCCTCCTGCCCTGTCTTCTCAGGCTCTCACGCCTTTAGGTTGTCACTGCCTGGCACGGCCTGACTATAACTAGTTCTGTACTCTCTCAGTGCCAGATAAATACCAGTGGGAAGAAACTGTGAAAATGGCCCAAGGTGAATGAGAACATTTGGCATCTTGATACATTTTTGAAGTCAGTTGTTTCAAAACTCACAAACAAGGAGCTGTAGTCTGCAGTGTCACATTGACTTTCTCCTGCTCACCCTGTGTTAGCGGCAGCTTCGGGAGCAGGACCCGGAGTCCTCCTTGGGATGGATCTAGTAGACGCTTTCTCTTTCTTTACTTGTAAAAAGCTCTCCTGGTGGGGTCGCTCCTCCGGGAGACAAAGGGGCAGGGACACACCACCCCTCCAGATGATTTGATGAAGGAGGATTGTGTTTCAATCCGGGCAGCCTCGAATCTGGGGCAAATTACTTTCCCTCTCGAGGCCTCTGTTATTTTCTGTAAGTTCAGGGTTCAGAGCGAAGGGTCTGGCTGCGGGATTTTGCGGCTGCGGGATTTTGCAGCTGCCGAATGCCGTGGGTTTTGAACCAGTGGCTTGGGCAGCACGGAATCGCCTCTCAGGAGGGGCCCTTAGGGTCATGTTCTTGTCATTTCTGACAATGGATGTGGAAAGTTTCCCCCTGCTTCCCATTACACACATGCTTGAAACTGCATGGAGGCTCACAGCACCAGGCTAGGCTGCTCCAGTTCCGAAGTCGCGGCTGGCGGGGGAGGCTGCGGGGGCGAGCCAGGACTGTGTTTTGAATCTTCCAGAAGTACACCCAGGTGCAAATATCTCCTCCCCAGGTCACTTATTCTGTAAATCTGCTTCATCACATACTGAATTCACTCCATATGGAAACACAGTTTGGACAGAATCAAGGAACTCCAAAAAAGAATTGTATGTGTTTATACAGTGAAGGCCCATTTACCAATAACTGTCCTAACACTCATTGTCCTTTCTCCTCCACAATGTGAGGTTTTCTTGCCTACATGCAAGTGTTCCCCATAAAAATATGCACAGGAGAAAATAAGATCACTGCCTCTCTCCTTGGCTCACTGGAGCCCTGTTTCTTGGCACATCGTTCACATGGATACACAGCAAGAATCCACTTAAACCCAGCGCCCCAAACTCGTGCACAGCTCAGGCACCGGGCGCAGGATCAGGACCTTCATCGAGGGGCTCAGAAGCAGTTCCCACACTTTGGAATGCTGCGTGGCCAGAGCGCACCAACCAAACCCACCCCACGAGGTCCCCAGCGCTAGGCCGACAGCCACACATGCCCTGGCTCTCACCCCTGTGCCCGGAATAGTGTGTGAGCGAAGCACAGACATGAAATCAGGAACAAGAACACAGGATCCACGGTGCAGAAGAGATGGTTCATGCGGCCCAAGCGCCAAGCGCGGAAAGCAGAAGCGAGCCGGGAGAGCGGGCAGGCATGCGGGGCGCAGGGGCGAAGCGCACAGACACGGCCCGGCCAGCGGCAGCCACGCGCACTTACACGGTGCGATCTCACACTACCTTGGTTGCCTTAAGCATTTCCATCGTCTGAGAGTGTGGCAAGGAAAAACAGAAGGGTTAAAGATAAGTCAGAGTTCGCTTTCGGATGTCAAGGTTAAAAACAACATTGTTTTTGCTGTTGCATTCACGGGGCACAGCCGGATGCTGGGCTGCTTCAGGGTGGCAGCTGGCCAGGCCTGGTTGGGTCACAGCTGCATCGGCCCCTGGCTGGCTGGGGACCCTGCACAAGGGTCTCCTTTTTCTGTGCCATTTTTTCACCTGTAAAACGGGTGTAATCACACTTACCTCCCGAGGCTGTGGGGAGCAGAGTATGAATGAACACACAGGGAATACTCAGACCGGTTCTGCTCAAGACTCAGCATTAGTTAACTGTTGAATACCAGCATTGTAGTTCTGTAATTTTACCTTTGGCTTCTTCGTGCATTATCACTCAGACTAGAGGAATAAACATGTTTAGAAAGCCAAGGACCCGCAGAGAACTCGAACTACTCAGTATGAGGAGAAAAAGACAGAGTTGGAAATGCAGGGCTGGAACAACAGTCTCAAGTGTCATAATTCTTGGAGGGCACCGTCTCAGACTCTGGACGATCTCAAAACAATGCAGAAGAGCTTTTGATGATGGATAAGTAAAACTTGGTTGGATACCAGTGGACCAATCATGACCCATGACCCTGGTCACCGCGGTGGGCAGCAAGGCCTGGGGATGGACCTCAGCCTGCGTCTCCTCCTTCCTTCTATGCAGCCTCCCGGAGATCAGGAAAGGAACCAGTCCAGTGTGTCAAGTCCTGCAAGAACACAGCTGTCTCTACTCTTTCCCGGAACCACTTAATCAGCTTTGCCTTCACCTGGCAGGCTGTTGTGGTCCAACCAGAAAGAAAGGGATGCTCAGCTTGAGAGACGCCTGCAAGTGAGATGCCCCGGGGTGACGCGGGTGAGTGCTCCTTCAGGAACACCCTTGGGGCAGTACCAGTGCTTGGCTAAATCTTCTAAATTTTTATTTTAGATTTTGATGGTGCTAGGGAGTGAACCCAGCATCTTTGCACTGAGCTTTTTAAATTCCGCTTTACTTTTAAAATTTTGAGTCAAGGTTTTGCTAAGTCACTCAGTTGTCCAGACTGTACTCAGACTTGCCTCCCAGAGCACTGGGATTACAGTGGGCACCACCATACCCTGCTGGTTTCTTCACTTTCCCTTAAAGCGAACACCACCCGGTCTATATCTGGTGGTGCATTTGCACACACAGTTGGGCCTATTGTAACGGATCTTATTTAAATACACGAATGGAGTTCTACTCAGCCATAAAGAAGGATAAACTGGAGACTTTCATAACTAAGTGGATGCAACTTGAGACCATACTCATTAGTGAAGTAAAATAAGACACACACATGTAAACATCAGATGGTCTTACCAGTCTAAGAAGCTGAAAGCAACAACACATTTTATGTGTATGTATGTAGAAATAGTTAAGATAAATTATTTAAATACATGTAGCATTGCATGAGTCTCAAAGACAAAGCTCAGGTAGTGAGTTGGCTTCTCCTTCTCTTGTGTGGACACTTACTTTTTCCTTAGTAACTTTTATCTGATTCTAATTCTATAGCCTCTCATCTCCTACTTCCCATTTTTTGTCTTTTGGTTGTAACCTAGGTGACATTTAAAAAATTTTTTTGGGGCAGTTTCACTAAGTCATTAGATTGCCCAGGCTAGGTACAAACCGTCGATCCTCCTGACTCAGCCTCCCAGACTGCTGGGATTACAGGCTGCACTACCATCCCTGACTCCGAGGTCATTTCCAATACATCACTGGCCCATGGGAATTTCCAGGATAGAAGATCTCGGCCTCTCCCTCTAAGTTTCTTCATTTTTTGGGTCGCTTTGGCAATGACATGAATGCTTGTGTTGGCTCTTTTTGGGACATGAGCGTTTGGATGAGGAAACCTGATTATTTAATGTTGGATGCCAGAAACCTTGTTTCAAATGAAAATGGAGGTCAGCCTTGGAGGATTTCAGCTGGCAGACCGAAAGAGGGAACACTGGAGAGGAAGGCATCGAAGCCTGGTAAGTCCCCTTTCCAGGAAGAGGCGTCCTGTCAGGTAAGCGTCTGCTCCTGAAGAGACATAGCCAGGAGGCTCAGCTGGGAGCCATAAGCATTGTCTCATGTAGTGGGAGGTGTGAACGTCTGAGCCCACCAGTCCTGAGCGGAAGAGACCCTCCTTTGAGCGAGGTTTGACCTGGGTTTCCTCACATGTGACCGCAGCTGCTGGTCAGGCCGCAGCTGCCTGGAGCTCAGAGCTTGGCTCTGGGCTTTTCCGTCCGGGCTGCCTCCCAGCCTGCTGCAGCCTGCCCGTGCCTGGGAGGGGTTGAGGCTGCCGGTGATCACAGCTTCATTTGTCTGGCGGGGGAAGCTGGCTGTTTAAGATGCTGTCTTACATCTTCCCAATCACAGGTACTGTTTCAAGGACAGAGACTACAGTGCTCTGGAGCACAGAGAGACACCTTGATCTGCCTCTCATCGCCTTTTTGAAGGGATGCTATTTATGTCATTAGGATGTTGCTCAGGCAAAGGTACAAATGGGAGAGAGAGACGGAGGATACTCAGGAAAGCAAAGGGATTTTCAGCCAGAAAAAACAGGTCTAATGAATTGATGTTTGCAGAAATGGTGACATTTAAACAATTATTAAGCAATTAGCCAAATTATAGGTAGGATGGAAAATATAAGACGATTTCAGAGGGAATCATTTCAAATAAGTGACTATCCTGTGGAGTTATCATCTTGCATTTGGTTCCAAATCAAATGAAAAGGTCATTATTTTGACAGGAGAGGGAGGGCAGTTATGCCTTTACTGCTGATGGACAAGTACTGCCACGTCAGGGTGGCGTCACGAGCTCATCAGCCTCTGGGCCACATCTGGAGGGCTGGAGCCCTTAGGGCAGCCATGACAGCTGTGGTGTCCTTGTCTTGCACAAGGTGACTTTTGGAAAAGAGTTCATGGCAGCCACTTCTCAGTTCTGCTTTGAGTCTCAGTCCCCTCCCAAGGCGGGTCAGAGCTGTGTCAGGGGTAGGCTAAGTCTTGGAGAACAATCCATGTGAGAAAAAGGTCAAGCATGAAAAAGACATTGTGTTACAGTGAGGGGTGCATACCCATGTTTGTAGCACTGCAGCTCCTAATGGCTAAATCTCGGGAGAGGCCCGTATGCCCATCAACAGTTGCACGGATAAAGAATGTGGTGTTTGCACACAAGGGAGTACTGCTGAGCCATAAATAAGGTCAACTCAAGTTGTCTGTAGGAGAATGGATGCACCTTGAGACCATAATGTTAAGGGAAGTAAATCAGACATGTGAGCTTAAATATGGCACGGCTTCTCTTACGTGAGAAATCTAAAATGTACATAAAGAGCAAAATAAAATACAGGTAACAGGAAGAAGGGAGATCTTTTTCAAATGAGAAGGAGATCAAGAGATGGAGGGAAAAGGATGAAAATAAGATAGCTGAAAGAGAAAAGCAGAAGTGGAGCTTTTGCAAATGAGAAGGGGGACAAGAGATGGAGCAGTGGAAGGGGTAGGGGACAAAGGAAGAGTTAAAATGTGCTATGTCCGTGTATCAAGGTTTGTGTTTTGTTTTTCTTTGAGACAGGGTCTCACCACGTAGCTCAGGCTGGTCCTGAACGCACCGTGTAGCCCAGATTGGCCTCGAATGCTCAGTGATCTTCCTGCCTCAGCCTCCTGAATCCTGGGGTTCCATGTGTGAGCCACCATTCATGGCTGAAGCACCAGTTTTAATCCTTTGAAAACCACACTCCAGGGGAGATGAAATCCTTATGGTGGGGAAGGGGGAGCATAGGGGAGGAGTGAAGGGGGAGGCTGGGAAGGGCAGGGCCCTGAGCGTATCCCCCAGCTCTGCGAGTGCCAGGTGAAGCCTCACCTGCCCTCCCTGTCTCCTCTTGTTTTCTTTGGCACTGGGGACGGATGAACCGTTTGCCTGGGGAATCTGATAGGGGTGAGTGTAAGTGTGTGTATCTCATCAACGAAGTCTGATTCTTCTGAGGGGCTATAAAATGCTGTATCCTCTTCCTGCTTGGATTAATAAGAGGGAACATGAAACTTGAGTTTAGTGTTGCAAAATTGATTTTAAAGATCCTTCTAGTTTAATTTTATGGATTGCAAAAGGAGGCTGAGAGAGAGAGAGAGAGAGAGAGAGAGAGCGAGCGAGAGAGAGCGAGCCAGTGAGAAAGTGAGAATCCCAGAAGAGGAGACAAGAATGAAAGCTGAGCACACAGGAAGACTGAGGGAAGGAAGACACGCGACAGCTTAGAGGTGGCATCTAAAGGTCCCCTGGCACACATGCACACGCACAGCATGTAAAACCCATGTGACTCCATATCGTTGTTTGGTCTCATTCCATTCTCCATCTGAAATTCTCTGTTGTTCTCGTCTAAGAATAGGCTCAGGGATGGACCTGATGTTCTCGTTGGCGCCCCGAGAATGGAGAAGCTGACTTGAAGATGAGATTTGTGCAGAAAGTGGCCTGAAGGCCACTGAAGAAGGATCATGTTCCCATCACCCTGCCCTTCGGGAAAGATGATTGTTATTTTCAGTGCATCCTCTGAACAGCCAAAGCTCCTCTGTGAGGACAGTGCACTTTGCTCTGTGCGACAAACACACAGCCAGGCCTTCTACCACATCCGCCCGCTCGTGTGCGAGACCTTTGTCCAGAGCACTACGAATACAAGGCTCGCTCTTCCCACAGGGGATCAGCGAACAGGCGACATTTCATTCATTAAGCAGCATTATTTATAGTACTCAAAACATTAAAAAAAAAGACAGTTGTTATGGTTCCCATTGATTTACTCAAAGTTGAGTGAGCAGCTGTCTCATTCACTGGAAACTTCAGAAAAATCACCAAAATGTCCCTCAGAGTGAGTCTTTCTTTTGTATCTGGGCGACCTGCGTTAAGCCGTGGGGGTTTGGGTTCTGTAGTTTAATTTCCCACTTCCTAGGCGGCACTGGATAATAGGTGGAATGCTGAGTGTTGACTGATTTTTCCTTCAAAAACTCACACTGTGCTCAGTGGTGAAAGGCAGCAGTGAATAGAAAAGGCATGAAATAAAGTCCTGGTAAAAACGAGTTTCAGTGAGAGGCCTTCAGGGAAGGAAGACGGGATGATATTGTAATTTACTGTTAGAATCCAAGAGATCTAGAGTGGGGTGTGATCTTGGTGATCAATTAACCGGTCAGCTTGCATCGTTTCATAGATTGGAAAATAAAAACTCAGAGAGCAAGTGACACAGGCGGTTGGGGGCAGAGACTGTGGGAGAGCTCTACACACCAAATCCCGGACTCTCCACCACACTGCTTCCCACAGTCGGCAGAAGGGTAGCACTTTTCTTCTGAGATACGGTCTTGCTATGTAGTCTGGGCTGGTCTTGAACTCACTGGATAGTCCAGGTTGTACTCAAGTCATGATGATCCTCTTGCCTCAGCCTCCCAAGTGCTAGAATTACAGGTGTGCACTACCATACCCAGTTTAAGAGCAGCATTTTTTAAACCGTGAAACGTTTTATAGGTTGAGTATGTCTTATCAAGCTGGAGATCAGAGTATGAGTTTTTTTTTGGATTAGAATATTTGTATGTGGACAGTGAGATACCTTGGGATGGGATCCAAGATGTCTGAGCATGAAATTTATTATATTTTATATACATACAGCCTGAAGGTAATTTACATAATTTTATATTAGGTTCACCTGTGTTTTGGTTAAAAGTTGTCACATGACATCAGATGTGGAATTTTCCACTGACGTCAGTTCAGTGCTCAACAAACGTCAGATTTTGCAGCATTTTGGACTAAGATTGTCAGACGAGGTGTTAGACCTGTAAAGTGTGAATAATATGCTCAACCTGCCTTCTGAGTCTAGAGAGGTTTGTTTTCCACATAAGCAAGCTAAGGCAGAGTTAGGAAGCTGCTTAGCTCTGCCAATAAAATAAACTCAAGTGGTCTCTGTGCTGGGTCTCTCTCTGATTGGGGTCACTGGTCTCCAAATCTGAATAAACTGTGAACTCTTTTAGGAACCTCTAGACCGCTGATAAATTTTCTCAGCTTTCATCTGGGAAACATTTGCTTAAGAGAGCAAAGTCTTTTTATCTTTTCGTCCCCTCCCTTCCCTTCTCTTTCTTCCCCTTCCTCCTCTCCCCAACTCTTTCTTTTCTTCTCTTTCTTCTCCTTCTCCTTGTCCTTCTTGGTGCTGGGGTGAATCAGGGCCTTTGCACAGATCTACATCCCCAGCCCCTTTATGTTTTGTGCTTCTGAGACAGGGTGGAGCTGAGCTGTCAGCTGCCCAGGCTTTATCCCTGCCTCTCCCCCACCTACTCTCTTGGCCCGGGACTGCTCTGTAAGGTGGGGGGTGGTGGTGGGGAGCAAGGACAGGCTGATTGGGGCGGGCCTGTCTGGTCTCTAGTTTTATTTATTTTTTTCTTTCTTTCTTTCTTTCTTTCTTTCTTTTTTTTTTGGTGCTGGGGATCAAACTCATGACCTTGCGCTTGCCAGGCAGGCGCTTAAGCCACTGAGCTAAATCCCCAGCTCTGGTCTCTAGTTTATTATGGTCTCTAGTTGCTGATTATTTTCCAATTGGTTAGGTCCCACTTTTGAGAAAACCTGGGTAGGAAATTCTCTTTAATCTTTAAAATACAATAGTCTAGTCAGAGTAAATATCAATCTTGTTCATTTCTCTTAAATTTTGCCCCAATACACAAAAAGCCCTGTACATAGACACATTTAGATCTACCTTTCATTCAGACAATGTTTTATACATTAGTTTTATTCTATTTTCTTTAAGTGTTTATGCTGTTTTCCTAATCCCTTCCCTAGGATCACAAATAAGGGTGTATTAAATCATCACTGTATATATTCTTTGCAATAATTTTTCTAAGTTTTTTATAATCTTTGTAAGAGTTTTACAGTTTTTCTTGAGTGGTCAAATTAATGTTCTCAACCAAGTCTTAGTGATTCAATTTCCTTGCCCTGGTAAGTTAGCTCCTTACTATTTGGAATGCTTTAATAGCAGTATTTATTTTATTAGATTTATTTATTTAGTTAACAAAAATTTCCATGGCTTATCATGTACTGTCACATTCATTTATTCATTTATCTATCATATTATCCTTAATAGTCCAAAATTTTAATTTATTAAAATTAAAATTTTAATTTTATTACCCTGAATAAATCTTATTCAAATAAATACTTTTCTACTAAATTTTTCCACCAATAAATGAATGAATAAATAAATAGCCCAGGCTGGGCTTAAACTTGCGATTCTCCTGTCTCAGCCCCCCGAGTGCTGGGATTATAGCTGTGTACCCCACATGGTGCTAATATCTTATTCTCTAAATGTGGCTTTCAATAGAAAATTTTTACTGAGAAAAGCCGAGTGTTAGTTTTGTAATTGGTTGAGTGAAAACACAAAACATTCTTATCGAACCTAAGGACTTCTAGGACTATGTCCTTGAAATCAGATTTGAGAAGCAGTGTTCTAGCTCAGGCTTCATCTCTGCTCATTTTCTAGGTCCGTTAATGATCTTCTTCCCTATTTTCCTCCTTCCCACCTTGGCCCTTTCACTGTCTCTTATACAGAACAGACTTTCCAGGGCACTTTTCTTCTGTGGTGGAGCCTGAGTCCTACGTTTCTGTAACTTGCTGCGCTCTCTCTGAATCCCGGGTCACTCTGTGAATTCCTTAGTAATTGTTTTACATGAAAATCAACATAATCCTGCTGTTGTGGAGTAGAATTTTTATTGAAAAGTGTTAGTTTTATGAAACAAAAGGACTCATGCTTGGAATCTGCCAGACAGACCCCTTCAGCCACGCTCTGGGTTTGGGAAGGAGGCTCTGTCAGCACGTCGCCCGGCCTTGTAGGTTAGTTCGGGTTCTTGTTTCACCGCCATCCTGTCCTCCTTCGGGGTGACAGGTGGCTAGAGCACATTGAGACTTTTCTCTGAGGGGGAATTTCTCTCTCCTTGATAGTCTCTCTCCTCTGTGCCTCGCAGATGGAGAGGAAACCTCGGGAGCTCCCGGGGGAGTTCCTTCCCCGCCTCTCTGCTTTCATCCTGGCCTGGGTCAGAATCCTCTTGTCCTTCACAACTCCTTCCTTTGTGGGAACTAAGTGTGCAGGAATTTCTTCTTCTTGGTTTTTATAGCATTGTTGCTGGTTTTGTTTTGGGCAAATGGAATGAATCCTGGCACTCTATTATTTTGGTTAAAAAACATGAAAGGCTGTTTCTCTACACTGGCACTTCCTAAGAGGGAAGGCCCTAGCTACATATGGTTATTTAAATTTAAATTAATTAAATAAAATACAATTAAACATTTGGTTCCTCCATGTAACTAGACTCATAGCATTTGCTCAAAACCCATGTGTCCACAGTGTGACTTCACACAGAGCAGATACAGGACATTTTCATCTTTGTTCTGCGGGACAGCACTGCCTTACAATATCCAATATTAGGGAGCTGCAAGGGGAACTTCTACAGTTTGACAAAGATCCTCAAGTTGTTCCCTGTACCTTTCCCACCCCATTCCTCCAGCATGGAACCAAAAGCATAGCTAACTGCAGAAGGACATAGGTCACCTATCTGAGCTAAGCACTTAAATCCTTATATAGGCTAAGCTCTCATTATGTGGGCTGGACTTCCAAGCAATTCTACACCAAGTCAAAGTACAGAGGGTAAAACTTCCAGGTAGCAAGGTTATACACATTACCCAAAGCAGTGTGGGTAAATATTGAATGCAAATTAGCATTAAACATTTATTCACTCAAGAATCACTTACTTAGCATTGAATAGTCTGTCACACACTGTGATCCAAGGATGGTGTGGTGTCTTATACCTATAACCCCACTATTCTGGGAGGCTGAGGCAGGAGGATTACAAATTCAAGCCCAGAAAGGGCAAATTAATGACTAAGTCGGACCCCGTCTCTAAACAAAAAAATAGCAAAAGAAAAAAGTTGGGGATGTTGCTCAGAGTGCAGATCCCAAATTCAATTCCTGGTATCACAAACCAAACCAAACCAAACCAAACCAAACCAAACCAAGCCAAACCAAACCAAACCAACTCCACAACAACAAAAATAACCTCCCTCTGCAAACTGAACCAGAACAACATCAAAAAGCCCAAAACACTATAATTCACATATTACAGATTGTGGCAATGAAATTCCTGTGTAGGCTTTAGAGTCAGCCTGAGTTTAAATTTGGCACTTTCTATCTGTGTGCCCTCAACAAGATTACTTACTATTCCCAAGGCTCAGTCCCCTGTATTAAGTTGGGACTAATCCATGGGAATATTTTGAAGATTGCATCATACAAGATATGTAGCATAATTAAAGAATCTATGGAGAGTGGGGATGTAGTGAGCAGTCATGAAGAAGGTGAAACCCACTTGAGCTGTATTATTCCTTGAACCGAAAAGGCTGGTTCGAGCAATAAGGAAAGGTGCTCCAGCCGTCAGCGGTGTAGGTTTGACCCCTGTGTGCTCTGATGAGCTTTGGGTGGTAGACCAGATGCCCCTGTTTCCTGTCCTGCCATCTCACAAACACAAGCCACCAGGAAGTGTGGTTGATGGTACGTGGACAAATAGGAGAGCTGAGAATGGCCCCCTAGAAAGTCATCCAAGTTCCTGCTTTGAGGATGAATAGACTGAGCTGCAGAGTTGAAAAACTTTGCCAAGTTTTAAACACAGCCAGTTGGCAGCAGGGCCGAGGGACTGAATGTTTTGTAATGGCACAGAAATCTTCATCATCAACCTTAATATCACCCGGCTATGGGATTATTTCCAA